CATCTCCTGGAATTCTAAGAAGCAGGAGACCATCGTCTTGTCTTCGACCGAAGCCGAGTACATGGGTCTAACGGAAGCGGCCAAAAAATTCATGTACCTTTGCGAGTTTCTCAGACAGGGTTCGAGAAACTCACATCCATCAAGATTTTCAATGACAATATGGGTGCTCTTAGGCTAACTGAAAATCATATCTTTCATGCTAGAAGTAAGCACATCGATTTGAGGCATCACTTTCTTCAGAATGCCATATGCAACCATCTTCTCGAAAACGAGCATATTCTTTCTGAAGACATAATGGCTATGTGCTAACCAAAGATTTGTCGGGACTTAAACATCGATGTTGTTTGCATGATTTCAGCCCTGCTGTACATCCTGGGACGACCACGAGACGAGTATTAGATTACGCGGGCTCCGCTATCATGGATGATTCGTCCGATTAGAGGCGCTCATTCGTGTTCTTTTTACTCTGCGCATTTATCGCGTGGCACTTCACTGTATTATTATTACTTCTTCTCTCGTACTAAGTATTGTGCTCGCGGTTTATATTCGTCTTTACAATAAACGTGTGTAATCGCTTTTCATATACGCTTTATTACCATTTCCTCGCATTTTATTAACATTCCCTCACAAGTTCCACCCCATCTCTCTCTGCCACAGGACGTATGGCTTTCCATGCGAAGTAAGGTCCACTTCATTCTCCGATCTAGGAAAAAGTCAGTTGCCCCTTGGTTAAAAGAAGATGGAATGAACCTCGTTTCGCGCGTGGAAAGTCACAATCCGAGACAGGGGGAGATGGAATGGACTTCTCTTTGTGTGGAAAATCAAACACCCTTATATAGGAAAAATATAGAGTAATTTTTAATATTGTATATGGTAAAAATAAGATATTATTTTTTAAACTTTATTTGTTAATAACTTCTGAACAAACAGTGACCGCCTAAAACCTTTTGAAAATTACTTAGAGTCATGACCTTGACAACATATATCAAGGTCAAGATCATCGAAGAGATCCTCTAATGTAAAGGTTTATCACATTAATTAAGAAATCCTTGTAATTCTTGAAATTATCAGGATTTAATAAAGTGTATATGTTAAACTGTAATAATATAATGGCAACTGATCCGTATTAAAGAGAAATGTTTTGCAAAGCGTTTTTTAAATACTTTGCATTAAAATAATTTATAATGTACTTGGTAATTTTTATTATGTAGTAAGTAGTTCATAAAATATTTTTTGTATATTTTAAAAATTCCTATGTTTACGATAATATTATTAAGCTGCCAAACTGCCCCATGTTTATCACTAAACATGATAAAAATAACAAATTTTGCGGTAAAATATTATAAAAAATTCTCTCCGTATAGATTTTATGTATTTTTTGAAAATTATGTATAAAAATGGCCAAAATTATAACCTAGAACGGACATCTTTAAAATCTATACAGTTGTCATTTTCGAAGTCCGCATATTCATGAAAAAAAGTTTATTTGGTAATTATATAGATTAAGGGAGACTGCGCCGATAACCTTGACCTTGACATATGTTGTAATCCTGAGTGACTTTCAGAAGGTTTTAGTTGACGGTCACTGTTTATTAAAAAGTTATGAACAAAAAAAGTTCAAAAGATAAGCATTATTTCTGCATTATTTATGCTATATATGCAATATCAAACACTATTCTACATAGGTTTTGACTTTCAACACGAAGCGACTTTCACTCCCCTCTCCCCCTGTTTCAAGAGCGCACGACTCTCATCCCTCCTCCTCCCTGCTTGAGAGGCGCACGACTCTCACTTCCGACTCTCTCTCACCTCCTCCCCTCCCCTCTGCAAAGAGATAAGAGAGAGTCAGAGATAAGAATCGTGCGCCCCTTTGCAGGGGAAAAAGGGAATAAGAATGGGAGGTGAAAGCCACTTAAAACCTGTTGAAGGTCTTTCAGAGTCATGACACTGATTTTAAAATTACACCACATTTTGCGTTTTTTCTTGTTATGAATTTGTTTATAATATACGGCATGGCAGTAATATTTCAAACTAGCAAAATCTCGCGTGAGATTTACTTTTGATTTACATATTGGATAAACTACTTCATCTTTAAAGATATCTTTTGCAATCAAAAATTCAATAAGAGCAGTATTATCGTTACAAATTGTCAAAAATTTGTACAGACGCATGATGTGTTATCAATGATGATCACAATACTACTGAATGTCAGCGAAAGCTTGACTGTCGATAGAAGTAAACAAAATATGTATGACGAATACTATCAAAAATCATGTCCTTCTACATCGATGTTAATATTTCAGTTAATATTCATTATTCCTTTTCATTTCAAGATTGTTTTAAGTAGGTGCAAATTATATTAAACTCCTATTGCTCATAATTTTTTAAAAAGCAGTTACTGAAATACGCATATTTTTCAAAGTTTTTTGTTCATAACTTTTTAATAAACAGTGACCGTCAACTAAAACCTTCTGAAGGTCACTCAGGATTATGATCTTGACAACATATGTCAATCAAAGTCATCGGTGCGATGTCCCTTAATCTGTATAATTACCGTTTATTTATTCAGTAAGGCTTGGGAAACCTTCCAAAAATAATAAAATAGGTCGTTTAAACGTTCTGCAAAAAAACTTATTTGTCTAATGAATGATGATAGATTTCGAAATTAATGATATGTCTACATTTAACACGAGTTGGAAATATTACAAAAATAAACTAAAAGAAAGATCAATAAATATATATATATATATATATATA